TTCCACCCTATTTTAAACAATCAGATTTTTTCAAATAATAGATATATTAATATTTTTATTCAAAGATTTGTTCCAACATCATACACAGCTCAAGTATTCTTACTCATGAACAGAACAAATTACCTAATTTTGTCCTAATAAAAGTTACAACCCCTGGAATGTTAATTGTTCTCCATAAACTGCTAATAATGGATCCTAAAATTTAAATGAAAAATCTGTTAGAATTTAGTAATTATTTATTTATTGAATGTTGATTTTATTTTTTTTGGGGGGGGGGGGGGGGGGTTCGTAATTTGACATTAACTCGGGGGTGGCCGTAATTTACACTCAAGATTATGCAGAATTAGAACTTTTTGACTCAAAATGTACTTACATCGAACAAGAATGTGCATTCGTCCTATGTTATTACAACTTTGTATCCCTTGTCATTAAGTTATGTGTAGAAACCTTATGTGTTCCTTTTCAGAAATCATCTTTGAGCAGTATTGTTGTATACCACTTCAACTCATTTTTAATTGTGATCTCAATTTTGAAGCCAGGTTTGACGATATTTGAGTATTTGCAATTTCATGCTGCAAGTTTGATATTATATATAATTCAAACATTTGGTCAGAGATAGAGCAAATTTTACCATCTGTGCTGCTGTGTATGCAGAACACTTCCTAATCCATTGTTTTTTGTCTATATTCATATTTGTCATCCGATAGTCATCTCTATCATGAATTATGTAAACCTGTCTGATTCTGTTCGGTCTTGGCTTGCAGGTGTTGATCTGAGGTCATCTAAGGTTTGTGAATTAGGGCTGCTAAATTACAAAGCCAAGTATGTGTTTTATCCATTTGAGCGTAAAAAATATCGATGCCATTATGACTACTATTGGGCTTCCGTGTTTAAGGTGATTTATTTACTTCTTTCGTCATTGAACTGTTTTTTCTCTGAAATTGTGTGAGATAAATTCTTAGCCTATTCATAATCTGAATCCCTTTGCTTCTACGACGGTATCCCTTCCTATAGTTAGGAGCTGGCTTTTAACAAACTTTCCTTCTTTTCGTTAAACCTTCCTGAGTACTGTTTTTTTAATTCATATTTGATATATGCTTCCTCGACTAGCGTCTCAATGACTGCATGCGGAAGATTCTTTATAGCTCGTGTGGAAATATTAATTTGTACGAAGTTAAATGCTCTGTTTTATTTGAAAAATACCTTAGTTGTAATCAAGTGCATATATACCTTTCTTTGCCTCCCAATCTGATGAGGTGAGAGATCTGTATGCTTCTTCTTCTTTGTTTTTTCCTTTAAAAATCGAAGAACAAAAGATTCTCTTTTGAACATAAATACTGTTAATTTATTTATGTATAGAGACGGATTTTATCTCTCAATATCGTTTTTCCTCTTTGAATGGTGCTAGTTCAATGGATACAAAATAGTGCAGACTTTTCTATTTTGGTGTGTCTCATATCATTTGTTTCCTCGTACGTCTCTCTACGTTTTGCGTTGTACATGAAGCTTTCGTTTCAATTCGCAGGTTGAATACACAGACCATTCAGGGCAGGCAAGGTTTGCATTAGCCGAGGCTCCTAACGAAGCCCTTCCAGATGACTGTAGACCCAGTTTCGGTACTGCATGGTTGACCAAAGATAAATTTAAGGTCGGTATTGATTAATTCACTAATTCATCTAATTTTAAAAAATAAAATAAAATCATATCTTTGATTTTACTTCGTACATGTTGTTGTGCTTTGCTTATTCAGGTAAACGGAACGTACGAGTGCTGGTACACACTTGGCATTTCCAAAGTGAACATAAATCACAAAGGTTTATTTAACTGTCAAGCAGAGGAACCTTCTACTGTCGAGATGCTTAAAAGATATTCCATCTTGTAAGTATTCCGTAACCATCTTTTTTCTTTTCCCTTTTAATTTTCTGATCATGAAATTTTACTGTACACTTGTTTTGTTTTGGTTCCATCATTTTTGTAATATTTAATTGTGTAAATTAAGGATACCCATGTGGTATTGGTAATTACAAATACACCCTGCGCTATTTCTCCGTCTTACAGTTACACCCTTACGGAGTTACAAGTAACGGAATCTTGAAAATTTCATGGAATATTCGTTCTGAATTTCCAAATCTATTGGGTAAATGTAATATTTTGTCTTACCTCAGGGGTACCCTTAGTTTGTATATTTAGACAATTCATTCATTCCGTTAGGGTTTATAACGTGCTGTTAGTTTTAGGGGTATTTGTAATTACCAATACTCTAGGGGTTTGTAAGTTATTTAGTCTTACCTCATGGAGTATTCGTAGTTCACCCTATTTATTTATATTAAAATGCTTTTGTCCTGACAGGTTTATAAGGATATTGAAGTCGTGGTTTTACAATTGGGATTCGATAAATCAATGGAGATGGGATGTAATAGCTGGACTAATAACCGGCTTTCTTACATCCTTATTCTCTATTGCCTTTGTCGGACTTTTACACCCGTTTTTAGCCTTCATTCGTAGACTCGTTGCATCTTGGATGTCGACTCCATATCCAAGTACTGTTCTACTAAAACGAGCTTGTTTTTTTGCTTTGTATTTCTCGTGTATGAGTTGGGTCACCATTCAATATGTTAAAAGGCTCGGCCTCTAATTCGAAAATATTATAGTTTCTTTTTACGATTAATTAGGAGGCACTCAATTTTCCAGTAGTGCTACTATTGACGAAATAATGTAAACATTTTTTTTCTACCGGTATAAATAGTTTTTGTTAGCTTGTTGTACGAGGATCGAATGTGTTGTACAGATTTAACTTGTAATACTTTTGTGTGATTATAGTTTATAGTACCGGTAATTTCGTTTAGATCTTTCGATTATTATTTTTTGTATATATATAAGAAAACTGCAGTTTTGAGTATTTATACGTTTCACATGCACACGAACTAACAGTCGATGTTTTTATTTATCGAAAACTATAATGTTAGAACTTAAGAGAGAGTTGCTAAATAAAAAATTAGTCACATCTTCCCGGTTTCTGCAATTATCCTCTCGATTTCTTCGAGTAGTCGTTCCTTTTCGTCTCCCAAATCCTGATTCTGCTTCTGTAGCTCTTCGATTTGCTTAGTCTGCTCCGAATCCTTTCTGACATTTATTAAGAAAACAGTTTTTGTTAGAGAAAAAAAATAAAGAAGGATTACTGTTACTGTAAAATACACGCTTTTGGTAATTTTCATTTTTGTTTTTCGGAAGTGAAAAACTGGTTCCGAAATAATTGGAACTTCGGAGATTCTAAAATCGAAATAGAAAAACTCGTTCCAAAATCATTTTTTTTTCCTTTGGCAATCAGTATAATTCGAAGAAAATAATGAACACCCCTTATAAAATACATAATTAGATTGATGTTATAAATGTGATTCTTGGATATTTTTCTTTTTTTTTAAATCGAAAACTAAAATCGGATCGGAATCGGAATCGGAATTGGAATCCAGTTTACCTGTTCATAAAGGACAAGTTAAGTTTAAGGGAACGAACTTCCTTCTCAAGATTCTCACATCTCTTCAATACAGACTGCATATCTGAAGGCACTGTTGGTGTTGAACTTCTTCCCTTTGCTTCTGCCATCCTTCATATATATATATATATATATATATATATATATATATATATATATATATATATATATATATATATATATACTCACAAATATCAGTACATAATTAAGGCTAACAAGAAAACAGAAGAACATGTATGTAATGATCATGTCATAAAAAGATAAAAATGCATACTTTCGTGATCGCTCCACGCGACGTTTTTTCGTCGGATCTCCTCTTTCAACTGCACAAAATGACCTAATCAGCAATTTTTTTTAACAGATTTAAGGTGTATTCAGATAAATTCCGAGTCTCAGTTTTTCTCTTAACAATTCGAAAACGAGTCATATGAAATGATTTTATTATTTACCCGAACCAGCTGACGTAACCGATCCATAACGAATTAAACCACCTTTCTGCAAGATAAATTTGGAATCGGTAAGGACTAAAAAAGAATATACCTTCGAAACTACTGATTTTAAAATGTAGTTCAGAAGTTATACCTTTTGATCTTCGATCGAATTATCGTACGTACGTTCTCTATAATCTGAATCCCATACAGAAAGGCAAAAAACTTTATTATTCGAGAAAACGTAGTCTTGATTTATGTAACGAAAAGAGTTGAATAATAATGTTATTTATCGTACCTTTAGTTCTAGAATAATCTTCGGTCCCACCACCTCCCATTTGATTCATCGAGCTCTCGCAAACACTCAAAGCTTGTGCCGAAGATTCGCTCTGAGACGGCTCCCGTGATATTGTGTTCATCTGAGTGGGGCCCACAATAATACCTTCCAATAACGACTCTTCAATCGTTTGTAAAACTCCGAGTGTGGATAAATCTTGAAAATTCCCCCCGTTTTCGTACGCATGAATTTCTTGATCGCCATGGTTATTATTATTATTATTGTAGTAATTATCGAAACAAGTGTTCTCCATAGCTTGGTTATTTACGAGCTTCTTTCGCTCTAGGGTGCCCTTCAACATGCTCACTACAGACGAAATCTTGTCCATACTCCCGATTTGTGGATCAGTAAATGCAGATGAAGACGAATTCGATGGCGACATAAATGCGCTATCGTATAACGAAATATTAGTATTATTATTAATGAAACCGTTTGGATTTACGGGTTCATGTCTGAAATTGTTGACGACGCCATTTTCAGACGCTTCGTGCATTGCCTCGATTCCTATTGGTGTTTGTGAGTTTTGCATAGCAACATATTTCTTCCTTCAAGATATTGAATACAATTAATTGCTATCCAAATTTAAAAAATAAAAATACGCCACGTTTATTAGATCGACTATAGAAAATTGATCGTTCGAGTGGTACCTTAACTCGGAGGATCGACTCCTAGTCATGGGGTGAGAGCTGTGAAACCAGGCCTGCATGTAAGTTTAACTATTAGTTTCCGTACGAAATGCTCGACTTAAAATGATTTTATTTTTTTTTGTTTTTTAATTCTTATACCTTTGCCAAAAATCGATTACTACCCTGCAACCCGTTTTCACCTACAGTCCTGATAGAGAGAAAAAAAATCCCACAATTATCGAATCGAAAATGAAAAACGAATAAGTACTTGATGCAATAGAATCAATAGATTTGTTCAATTAATCGGTGCTTCGACGAAAAATAAGTAAATAAAAAGAACCTGGTTGAAACGAGATCATTCGAAGAATCAACAGCCGTAGGGGTAGTTTGTGGAAATATAAAGTCGTCGTTTGTTTTTTTCTGGAGTGCAACTCCAGTTTGATTAGCTAAACTTGCCAGTTCAGTTGAGATCCTGTTTTTGTTTTTTTTTACACGAAATGCCGTTAAATTGATGATCGTACGAACAAAATAATTAATCGTGTTGGATGAATATAATAGTTATTACCTTCTCGATGCTTGTCGAGGACGATGTCCTATGACTGTCGAATGACCACCGTTATTCTGAAACCGAAAAAAAGAAAAATAGAAAAAAGTTATTAATTTATATAAAATGCAAAAATTGATGCAAAAATTCGATACAAGATGATGAATTTTTTTTGCTTGCCTCGCCGTTTGTGAGCCAGCTTTTGAAGAGTTCTTCGCTGTCGGCTCGAAGATTCTGAGCGAGATTCTTGAACCCTAACATCTCCATTGTTGGAGCTGGCATTCCGATCGAGCTTTCCATCATTGTCTTTATGAACAATTCTTCGCTCGTGTTTCTGTAAAACTCCGAGTAGCTCCTTCCCTCCATTTCCTAAAGAATGAACTCAAACGAAACGAGATACGAACACGAATCAGCTTTCTCTCGAAAAGAAAACCGATTTTCTCCAAATTAGCTAAATCCCGTTAACAAACTTCGCCTTCTTGCACGAAAAACCGATTAGAGCTTTCGTAACTAATTCGCTCTCTTGTTGTTTACACGGGACGCAACGTACACGATTTCTGGCGGTAAGAAGCACGGAAAAAAACTGCATAGAGACTAACAAGACAATCGATCGAAGAATATTTTTGTTTTATAAATAAGCAATTAAGCAGTGTTTGTAACTTTTTGTTGAAAATCATGTCACCTTTCGCTTTCGAGTGCAGTTCTTTTCCTTCACCTGGACATATTAACAAACAGGTGGTGGGCTCACCTTGGAAATAATAAATACTATAAACTTAGCAATCAAGAAGCATATTTCTTGCAAAAGATTCCGTTCTACTACATTTGTCTTTTCTTTTTGCTTGTGTGAAATCAAAATTTTTGGGTGGAAGTTTTCATCCTCCTACGTCAGCATGCTGGAAGTTTTGTCTTTGAAATCAAAATATATATATTTCATATTTTGAAATAAAAATATATTATTCGAACAAATTATATAGAAAAATGATGTATTTCTATTCCAATATCATATTTTAGAAATGTAAATTTGAATACATGTAATAATTATATTTTGTACATAATACTCCTTCCGTTCCACAATATCTGTCATTTAAAAAAAAAAAAATTTGTTCCATATTATATGTCAATTTAGATATTCAACACTACATTAATTACATATTTTTCGATTATTCACTTATCAACTTTTCAACACTCCATCTGCATTAATTAATAAATAAGGGTATTTTAGTCTAACAATACTAGTATTTTCCTAAAATCAAGTCATGTTTATTGAGTTTTTTAAGATTTGTGCAAATGTGAAAAACGACTTTTATATAAGTACGGATGGGGTATGTTTTAATTTATGTAATTTAATCAAAAAAATTAAATATATGTGAATTTTCACATATATATAAATTATATACAAAGACTCACTTAGTCAAACTTTATAGTATGTAACTAGGGTACTCAAAAACATTGAATAATTCAAAGGAACACACACTCAATATAATTTGATTAATTTAATATTTCTTGATCATGTAAGTAACCTAATCCACCATCTTCACTTAAAAATAAATAAATAAATAAATCAAACAACCTAATCCACCATTAAAACCACAAAAAATGTCTAATGTACAATTAGAACTAGGTGATAATGTGTTGAATTATTAATTCGATAATTTAATATTTTACTAGGTTAGTATAATTTCATCGGTACCAACTGTATTAATTTATAAACGATTGTATCACATTGTATTAATAAATAAATCCATCCGTGTTTCTTTGATTTTTTCAAAACCATGTGTGTGTGTGTGTATATATACATATATATATATATGAATAATAGTGACATTATATAATAATAAAACATAAAGAAAGGTAACTAAATTATCTTGACTGATTTTTTATTTTTTTAATAATTTTTTTACTCCAAATAATTGGGTTTTGTTTTGTGTTGGAAGTAAAGAAGCAGTTGGAATCATCTAGTGACAACGTTTGACTAGTCACAAACATTAATTTAGAGGGTGTTTGGCTAAATTTATAAGATGTTAAAAAGAATTTATAAGATGTTTTAGAGCTTATAAGCTCTTCCAAAGTGTTTGGTAATTTTTTTGAAAAAGATCTTAATTTTTTTTTAAATAAGCTGTTAGAGAGCAAATAAGATATTTTTAAATAAGTACCTATACCCCACATTTTTATTTAAGATCTTTTAATGAGTAAAAATAGGAAATAAACTCATTATCCAAACACTCTAAAAATTAATCCTAAAAATAAGATGTAACAGCTTATCAACTCTTAAAACATCTTATCAAACGTAAGAGCTTATCAGTTGTTTAAAATAAGCTTAGCCAAACACCCTCTTAGTCAAACTATTATATTATTATTATTATTAGTTTTAAAAAACGTAGTTCAAACAGAGACTTAGCAATATTCGTTAAAAGCGTGAGAAAGCCGGCAGCGTTTTTACTTCAAAAGATGCTGTATAATATTCACCAATTTATTATTTTATCATTATAAAAATAAATATTAAAACCTGACCAAAAAGTTGCTGATTGGGACTTTGAGTTGTAGTTGTTAGAAGAAAAAAGTAATTGATGTGACTTGTAATTATTTAAAAAAAAATAAACCCCTTATAAATTGAAAATATTAAATGACAAATTGCTAAACCAATTAACATTTAATTAATTTAAAATATCAAATCAAATATATAATTTAGAACCAAATCATTTATTTATTTATTTATGGGCCTCTTGGCCTTTTTTTTCCCAAATAACATACCATTTCGACAGCTCCAAATTAAATGAGAAATATATCCAATACAATTGGGCTAGGCCCAATTGTTAGATATTTTTTTCCTCTTTTTTTTTTTTACACTATAAGCCTTTTATAATAAGTATATTTATATACATAATTAAATAATAAATTTCGATTTTGTTTTTTATTCCAGAAATTTTTTATATTATGAAAAATATATAATATTCATATTATGTAAAAAGTAAAAAATCAATAAAGGAATAATAAAATCAGCAGAGCTTAAGCTCGAGTTCGAACTCGAGGTCAAAAAATCGGTGAGCTCGAGCTCGTTTACTCCCCTAATCACAACCTTCAATGATTTTATCAAAGTGGTTTTTTTTTTTTTTTTTTTTTTTGCAATAAAAATAATAATTTAAGTTTCCAAGATGCAGTATATACCTATTTAATCTGGATGGTGCAAAATACCAAAAATAATATTTTTAAAAAAGTGTGTAATTAACCAATTAATCATAAAATAATGAAGGAATTTATCCCCCAATTTTTTTGGTTGTGCAATCTTTTAGCCTAGGCCACCCAACCTGGCGCCGCCCCTTCCATTATTAGAAATAGATGCGGCACGTTTGGCAATTCACATTGAACAATTAAAAGTCAGCTTCGTTCGAAACACCACTTTTCCAATTCCGCCTAATCATTTGTCAGATGCCCAAACACGGCACAAAATCCCAAAATCCCATTATTAATAAGGTAATGTGAAAAGCATATGTATACTATATAGTATATTCGATTCTAATACAAAGAAATGCCATGACCTAACTAAAATTTTTATGAATTGTCAAAAAGAAGAAAAAGAAATTAAATTTTACATGTATTTTGTATTTAATTCCTTTTTTCTCTATCCACAATACCTACGATACTCTCGTGATTATGACTAGGGGTGGAGATCGGACGAATTGGATCGGAAAATGGATTTCAGAAAATTTAAGATTTTTTTCGGAACTGTAGTATGAGATCCGATCATGATTCTAAAATTTTGAGAATATTAAAATGAGATTCGATTCTTACTTATCGGAATTTTGCAGAGTTCTCTAAAAAAGAGGGAAGGATAAGATTAGAAAAAATCGAAACTATTTTTGGATCAGAATTCGAAAAATCCATAAATCTTATATTAATTTCTGATTCCGACCTGATTTTTTTCAAAAAAAATGAGTTCCAAAATCATAAGTTTTTGGACCTTAATTGACGGAAATCGACATTTTCAATCCGATTTCCACCCCTAATCGTGCAAATTTTATCGGGCCCAAAGTATTGATATCTACTATATATTATTATACAACAAATGCATTTAAATTACATTCTAATCATTAGTTTTTATATTGTACTATAAATTGGTCAATTCTTTTCATTATCTTTCCCCTATTATGAGTATATAGGTTATTAAAAAAATGTTTTTTCTTTTTTTTTTTTTCTTTTTTTTTCTTTATGTTTTTCGTTTTTTGTTAACTTGCATGTTTCCAATTTCGTCGAACTAATTTCCGGATCTCGAGGCCCTTGCCCTAGAATCGATGGAGATAAATTACGAGGTATGCCTCAACTGATTTTAAATAGCATTAAAAAGTATAACATTAAATACAAATAATGATAAAATAACAAAAAAAAAAAAAAAAAGAAAAAAAAAAATAATTGAAGGCCATGACCAACAATAACATAAAAGTTAGTTCAAGTGACAAAGTTCAATTTCTAGTTGCCATTATTGCAGCATCTTTTTATGCCAACTTTGAGATTTAATTGTATAAAATATAGAAATCAAATATTTTCCAACTTTTTTAAGCTTTTCTTTGATAAATTTGTTATTAGGTATTGACTATTGAGTTTCCTAACTTGGTAACCAAGATCTCAATCCTAATGGTTCGTTTGGTCACCGCTATTAGATTCTATTGACTAAATAATAGGAGTTAATAACATGCTCGACTGACAAAATTCGTACTCATTCAAAACCGATGCATAGACTAAAGATTCGTACTTATTCAAAACCGGCTGCATAACTAAAGACGACTACTATATACTACTATTTCATTAATTTAGTAGCATATATTTCTCCTGCGATTAATTTTGTAAGAGGATGACTAAATAAGAAAATGATTGTTTTATCCTTAAAAAATCATAATTTATTTAGCTAATTTAATAAAAAAATTAATCTAACAAAGCAAACATATTACCAACTAAATAATTAACTAGCCAGTAAGAAGTTAATCCAATCTGATATAATTCAAACTGATCCAACATAAATAACTGAACGAGTCCTAAAGAAACAAGAATACCTCGTGACATAAAATTATCTCATAACCTAAATAATTAATAAATAATTATCTCACAACCTAAATAATAAAATAATGAATAAAAAGAGTCATAATTTAATATTTTACCTTTTTTTACCCCAAGACCCCTTTTCTTGCGTACAAAGCCAAAATTCCCCATTATTATTTTTACCCTTTTATAAAAAAAATATAAATAGTAATAAAAATATCCCTTCATCATTACCGTATCATAGTCAAACAGTAATATATAAAGGTAGCGGCGCATATCAAAACCCCAAGAAATAAAAAAATTATCGTAGTAGTCAAAATTTAGGTGAGAGAGAGAGAGAGAGAGGTGTAGAGAGAGAAAGTGTGGCATCTCTGGTTTCTTCTCCGTAGGTAATGCCGTTTTCCCTTCAGGTATGTATCGCTTCTTCTTTCTTCCTATCGTCGATGTTAGATCTGTTTTTTTTCCGGCCGTTTGATTGATTTTCGTGGATTTTTGGATGTGTTTTTCCGATTTAATTTAATTATTTGTGCTCGAATCTTTATTTTATTGTTTTGATTGATGTTTTTTTGTTTGTACAAACAGTTTTTATTCAATTGTTTTGATGTTCTTCGTGAATTGCCTAATTTTTAATTTAAATTTTTTTGGGGATTTTTGAGTTGTGAGTATAGCTACGGTCATGATTTAGTTTTTGCGGTGAAATTAGTTGTTATGAATCTGATTTTCTGATGAAATTTATGTGTTATTAGAATCTGATTTTGATTAGGATGATTAATTAATTAACCTATTTATTGTATGTGATTTTTGTTTCTGGTTGTTTCTCTCTCATGATTGAGTTTGTTACTGATAAATCTCTCTCTCTTTGGTATCAGGTTGTGTTAAATTACGAGTTAAAAAACCGAATAATATTATCTAGGATATGGAGAGAGTTTACCTCTGGTCAGATAGTCACCAGCACCGGATTTTCCCATTCCAGGAGCTTCTTGACTGGCGGTGCCTCATCCTTGGAGATTTTCTTGTTTCCTTTGTCAATTGGACTTAGTGAACAAACCATATTTCTTTCAAAATAAATAACCCAAAAAAAAATCAATGGTGGATCTTTTTTAGTGCACTTGTAAAGTGAGTTGCATAATCGTAATCTATAGTGGAAGCTGGTTTGTGCTGTCAATCCGGTTACGCTGTTAATCTTGTGCAATTCGTTTGTCGTTAAGTGCATGGCGGATACAATATCCATCTCAAGGTATTATATAGTTCTTATTTCTTGACTTATTATTTATGTTTTGAGCTTTTAAGATTGTAAGGCATCATAATTCGTAACCTTTTACTTTTATTTTATTTTCAGGTCTCAAGCTGTGAAGTATTAAAAAGAAGTGCATACTTGTGCATTGTGGCTGTGGGCAACAGAACTGCAGTCAATCTACTTCTGTTTTGATTTATTGACGGTGAAAGCTTTGGTTGACCATGTTCTTGAGCCTAGGTTTTGTCGGTCCGTTTTGGTAGAAGATGTTTTGATTAGGAATGTTTTACAAATAAGGCTTCGAAGCCCGTCCATCGTAGTTCTGTAGGCTCTTCTACACTTAAGAAGACTTGGAGAATTGATGGTGGATTTTTGCTGAATTAGCCAGACCGTTTAGTAGTATATATTTACAGTCGATTTCGCGGGTGTGACATTTCAGTAGAGTTTGTTGAATAAGCGGCTATTTTTGCGGTTCCTGCAGTTGAATTGCAAAGATGGAAAGGTACGATGATTGCAATCTCACAGTAACACTTTCTGCTATATTGCTATTTTATCTATTAATTGATTCAATGATTATGATGGGCTATGCAGGTTTACAATCATTAAGGAAGTCGGTAATGGTTCGTTTGGGAATGTGTGGCGTGCTCTAAGTAAGAAGACCGGTGAAGTGGTAAGTGCATTGTTTGTTTATATAGTTCTTCCGTTTGAATTATTTAATCTTTTCTAGACCTAATCAAGTATACGCTGACAGGTTGCAATAAAGAAAATGAAGAAGAAATATTATTCATGGGAAGAATGTATAAATTTGAGAGAAGTGAAGTCGCTGAGGAAAATGAGCCATCCGAACATAGTGAAGCTCAAGGAAGTAATCAGAGAAAACGATGTTTTGTACTTTGTCTTCGAGTACATGGTATGCATTGCTTTTCCTAGTTTCCGTTTGCTGCATTGGAAGCCTTTTTGTGCTCCATATAATCCCTAACTTACGTTCCACTTTCAGGAATGCAATCTATACCAAGTTA